TTCAGCTCAAATAAGTCAGTTAGGATTGATCTTTGAAAAATGTTCTGTGTCTTTTCTTCGTGAGTCCCGAGGGCTCCCTGTGGTCAGATATGACCTCTGGTCCACCAGCTACTTATGGTCATAGTTGGTAGCTCTGAGCCTAGAATCCTAAAAATTCAGAGTGACAAGTGACACAATTCACTGCTCTTTGCACATTGCCCAACACTTCCCACACTGACCTTCTTTGCTGGAGCCACTCTACCCACTCCTACGGCCTTGCGGGCTCTGGCAGCATTTCACCTCCGCCTGCTGGCATTTCACTCTCCAGAAGGACTTGGTGTCACTTCAGACGTGGAGAGTTTGTTTTGCTGGGCTCTGCCAGAAGAGTTACAAATCACACATTTTTAGTACTGACTCCAGGAAAGACCCAGAATTCAGATTTATCCTGTCTGGGCCCGCATTTCTTCTGGCCCTCTGAGGTAGTGGGAAGTACACCATACCTCAAGGGGTCCATGAGACCTGCCAGGCATGGCAGCTCCTCTGCAGGGCTGTGAGGTCAGACTCACAATGAGCACAGAAGTGCTGCTGGGGACACAAGGATCTCACTATGAAGAATGCCGAGTCTGGGCACAGCACAGTCACTGCCGTCAGCCCAGGCAGGTCATGGATGTCTTTGGACTCAGCAGCTTCATCTGTAAAACGGGCTGATTGACTGAGATTGATAGCATCTCAACTCTGTTCTGAGGAGCTGCTATTCCGAATCCCTGTTTTCTAGCCCTCGGCAGGCTCTGCCGTTGTGGCAGTCTTTTGTTGGGATGCAGAGCTGGGCCAGCCTCCGCGGCCTGTGCCGCTTGAAGCAGAGCAGGGGCCTGAGCCTCCCCTACCTGTTCTTGCCCCACACCTCCTCCTTCCTTTGCCAGCCAGCCCCTCACGGGGATTCCCATAGGATTTCTCTGGGAAGAAAGGCCTCATTGCTTTAAATTTGAAAAGCATCTCCTAGTTGATAACCAGGGAATGAAATAGATATTCTTAGGCCCAAAGAGGGCTATTGATATGGGGTAATGTGACAAAATTTGGATATAAAACTGAAGAGTATGTAGCTGGGGTGTGAAGTTAAGAAAGTGGGGTCGGGGGGGCGCTGTGAGCTGTGGGCTGTGGCAGCCCTCCCTGCACACCCATGCTTCTGTGCAGAACTTAGGCAGGTTCCAGGACTGTGAATTAAAGCTGGACTTCCAGGTTGTTTGAGGGCAGCAAGCTGGAGTATAGCTTACCTAACAGTGTGCTAGCCTGTGTTGTCATTTTCCAGCATTTAGATACATGAGGTCAGAGCCTTCATCTATACTTGCCCCGAGCACTGCAAAGAGTAGTTCTCTTCCTTGAGAAAACCAAGGCACAGACATACTCAAGACCATGTGATCAGTCACATCATGGCAGCCAGAGACAGAAGGATTGTCCTGGGGCATAAGTGTCCATGTGGGGGGTTTTCCCTAGAACTGGATTTTGCCGCTGTAGTGACCTCATGGCAGGTGTTCACAAGGCCTGGTTGTTTTAAAGGGGAAACAAATTCACTTTGGTGAACACGTGCAGGCTTTAAATAACAGATGGTATGGTTTTAAGCTGGGCGAGTAAGTAGGTCTGTCTGTGCAGGGGTGTGGGTTACTTGTTCTTAAGCTGCTTTCTGTGTGTGCCAGGCTTGAGCAAGGGACAGACACATCAGAGCTCCTGGGGCCAGTTCCCCACTGCCAGCAGGGAGTTACAGAGACAGAAGAGGAAGCAAGGATGTGCTCAGGGTGTTGGGTTGGGGTTGGAGGCATCAGTATGAACTGATGGCTTTTGATAGTGAGATGTGTGGATGGAGAAATAGACATAGTGAGGTGTGTGTGCACGTGTGTGTGCATGCGTGTGTGTGTGTGTGTGCGCGCATACACATTTCCCAGCTCTGTCCACTGGGGTGGGGCTAGAGGCAGGGAAACCCAGTAGCGGTGAGCACCTGCATGTCCAGATTTTGGTGTCTAATACATCTTTTCTGTAGAGGGAGTCAGGTTCCGTGAACAAAGACTAATTCCTGGGCTTTGGGAATGGGGAAAACACAGGGTGAAGCTGGAGCTTTGCTTTTTTTTTTCTTTTTCACCAGAAAATAAGGCAGTGCTCAAGACATGATGAGGAACATGAGCAGGATACAGGTGCCAGCCTGAAGGAGGGACTGAGCTTCCAAAAAAGAAAGGTCTTCATGGGGTACGAGCCATGGACTAAAACAAAGACCCAGCGAATCCACACTAACACAGATGAATGGCTTTGTAGTAATGGGAGGGAGGTTCCTAGAGCAGAATGGGGCTGAACGGTGTACTAGGAAATCATCAGAGGGGGTGAAGTTGTGGACTCAGTCTGAAGTGAAGCAAGACATTTACAGAGCCTCAGAGGAGTTCTGCACAAAGCTTATTATCACCAGGGAACCCTAGAAATGACAGTAGGGAAACCTCGTGCCCCAGCCATGTGATGAGAGCCAGCGTCACCCACCCTGCAGTAAACTGACACCATGCGCCTCCTCAGAGGAGGTCCTGGAGGGACACCTCATGGCTTCTGGGGCATTCCAGCCAGTGACAAAGAAACATCAGCTGAGCCCAAACTGAGAGGCAGCCCTAAAAATAACTGGCCTCCATGAGGGTTAGCACCACAGAGAGGGTGGGGAACGTTCCAGATGGAAGGAGACTGCAGACACACGGCAACAGCCACCCTGAGTTCCACCCTGCCCTGGGGAAAAGAGCTGGAAAGGACACGATCAATGAAATTGGAAGATGGCGTGTTACATTTCCTGACTACTTGGTTATGAAAGAGAATGTCCACATTCTTAGGAACTCTACACTGACATGTGTAGGGGCAAAGAGGCACACCGTCTCCAACTTGATCTCAGATAGTCTGGAAAAAGGTTGCGTGTGTGCGGGTGTGAGGGTGTTTAGAGGAAGGGAGAATGGGCGGAAGCGGGAGAATGACACAGCAAGCTGGCAGAATGAGGACATTCGGTGAGTCCAGGTAAATGCCGGGTCCCTTTTATTATCCTTGTAATTTCTCTGCAAGTTTGAAATTATTTCAAAATAAAAAGTTGCCCCCCCAAAAGGATGGTGCACATTGCCTAGGAAAGGGGTGATTTTGGTGTGAACGGGGGTTCCTGTGGCATCTCGGTGATGTATGTCCTGGCTCCCCCAAAAGCACATTTAGCTGCACTGACAGCTCTCACGTCTGCGCTTTGGCCTCCTGCCTGTCTTCACTCTCCTGGTCCTCACAGCAGCCCTGCAAGCCCCTACCAGCCATCCTTGGACACAGGGACTGAGGCCCACAGGACTGTTGGGCCCCACCAAAGGGACCAGCCAGAAGGAGCACAGAACTCAGGCGCAGAGCTCAGGCCAGGTGGGATCAGAGCCTGCACCCCCACCTCCTGCTTGGGCCGCCCTCTGAACTGTGGAGAAGGGCTTCCTGCCCCTCCAAAACTGGAGGCCAAGAAGCACGTGATGGAAGGGTGGGCTGGAGGAGGCCAAGCTCCATCTTCTGCAGCCTTTTCAGGACTTTTATCTTGGAAAATGTTGAGCTTGGTTTGATGCATTTTTAGTGGAACTGCCATCAAGTTAGAGCTGCTTATGAGGCAGTGTCCATCCAGGAGTCAGTAGACGGTCAGCAAACGGCACCTCCAACCAAGCCCCGCCCAGCACCAACTTTGTGTACCAGTGTCGGTGGGATGGCCACGCCCATTCCTGCGGTTGCTGTCACAGGCTGCTTGTGTCCTAACTGCAGAGACCACAATGTCCTAGAAAAACCGAGGCTGTGTCACCCACCCTCCCCAGGGAATGTTGCCGGGCCTCACCTGCGGTGTTAGTGGACATTTCCAACCCTCGAGGTCCCAGGAGATCCTCTCAAGGATCAGGCCCTCCTCGGCCTGTGGGCAGGAGGTACAGAAGTGGGCGTGGCACTCCACCCCAGAAAGGGGCCACCCATGCGGTGGGCAGGTCGCCTCCGGGCATGTCAGAAATGTCTTGGTATACTTGGCTTTGGTGTAAACATGTTCCTTATAGTTCACAGGTGGTCCAGTTTGGTATAGTTGCTTATTTCCTAACTAAATACATATTCCTGATAGCATGCTGTTTGAGTGATTACCCGCTTATTAAAAAGATAGGTTTTTAGCCGAGTGTGATGGTGGGCACCTGTAGTCCCAGCTACTCTGGAAGCTGAGACAGAATTGCTTGAACCCAGGAGGTGGAGGTTGAAGTTAGCGGAGATTGCACCACTGCACTCCAGGCTGAGCGACAGAGCAAGACTGTAAAAAAAAAAAAAGTTTTGTGTTTATGGGACTAAAAAATTTTAAATTTAAGATGCATATGGAAATAAGAGTTAAAAGACTGCATAACTATACAAAAAGCTTACAAGTGCTTTGTTTTTCTTTGTCATTGCTGGTTTAATAAAGCACAAGTTGCTGAAGTTAGTAGCATGTTGGGAGGCCGGGTTCCATCTGCAGCGTTGATGCCGCATGCGTGGTTACCTAGCTGTGGTCTACCCGGCTTCAATAATTCAGGCTCGTGTCGGCAGCGGCTGAAGGGCCGCTGTGAATAATGCATGCCTCCCCGGCAAGGCTGCGCGCGACGTCTTCTGTCGGCTTCCCATCCGTGGGCCTGAGTGCGGGCAGGGCAGAGCCGTCTTTGTCAGCTGTGTGCTGGGATCGCCGGAGAAACTGCAATAATTTGCCCTCCTGGGAGAGTGAGCTCAGGAACAATGTCCCTGTGTGGGGCCCAGGCCTTTGCTCGGGGCCACCCGGGCTGTGCCGGCTGACCCTGGTATGGACTCAGAGGGGTGGTTTGCGGTGCATGGTTGGAAGTATTTGGTTAAGTGGCATCACAGTGGCTCTTATCAGCTCTACCCAGGTAAAGTCCCTCGTCCCCATCTTCGCACCTTGTCGCGTTGTCTGGGGCACACTGACTTGTGTGGTCTTCAGGTATGTTTGCCGCAGGGGGACTGTGTCGGGGGCGAGGGGCCCAGAGGGGAGCCTATGCAGTGAGGCGTCCCGTGACCTGACTGGAGTTGTGATGTAAACAGTCAGTGTGTTTGAGATTCTGGTTTGGATGAGATAATCATGGGCCCAGGCCATGTGCTACAGAACTAACTGCAAACTTCATCTTAGGATTAAAATTTGTAACATGTAACCTACACGTTTGACCCACCAGTGTAAACGTCGCAGCATTTCCGGTGTGCAGCAAGTCTGTTCTAAACTTGTTCACCACCGAAGCATTGCTTTGGCTCAGATGGGCCAGTCGAAAGAAGAAACCCTGCAACGATACCATAAACTGGAGCATGTTCTCTAAGGTGGTGTTGGGATGCGGGTGTGTTTTGTGGATGTCTTTTCTTCTTTGGTTTAGAACACAAGTGTGGGTTTTACTCACATGCTCAGCACCTGAGATTCAGGCAGGCCCCTGCAAGCAGGCCTGTGAATTACAGACATGGTGGTCTGTCCCTCTCCTGTTCTGGCCTGGGAGCTGGGGTTGGAATGGTGGCTTTTGCAAGGAATTGTATTTCAGGCGAGTACTGCTCAGCGTTCAAGGTCAGGCCTTCTGTGACTGTGCACGATTTTCCACGTGACGAGAACGACTCCAGAGCACAGTACATGCTATGAATTGTGAACTCCATAACTGGAAGCGGATGTCAGATGGGAGACGACCTTTGTCATGTGTGTTGAGCCACGTTGCAAAGAAAAATGCTGTTCAGGGGCTCTGCAGTCACACCTGGCTTGGCTGTGTTTCTCCAAAAGTCATGTGCGTGCATTTTGTCTGAATGGAATCATAAAAGTTCACCAGAAGAGCTTATGATTATAGGAATTCTGGGTGGACGTTTTCCCGTAGCCCACCTATGTGGTGTGTGTTGAAAGGTGTGTGTTGCTGGAGATTCCAACATCTTTCCCCAATGGGTGGACTCAGTGAGTGGACTCAGGAAGGCCCGTGTGTCTGGCAGGTCCTGTTCGTGCGTGCCCTTGGGAAGTTGAGGATCTGGGTCATGAGTTTTGTGCCCTGATCCTTAGGCGGGGGTGGCGTGGGCAGCCAGGGCTGTAGCCTAGAGCCTTCTCTTTCTGGCTCCTCCAGGGAATGTGCCCGCTTCCTCCACTCTCCAGGCCTCCTTGCTTGAGTGGAGGCCCCCCTTGCTGTGGCCTACACCACAGAGGAATTGCTGGAGCAGTCGCTGTGTCAGCACAAAGATACAAAATGAGACTGTGTGAAGGGGCGGGCTGTCATCTCCAGCAGTGCCGGGAGCAGCTGGCAAGGCCACGCCTCCTGTCTTTGTAATACCAGAGGAGAGCACAGACTGACTGGAACCTCTGTCCCATCCTTGGAAATGGTTTATTTGCAGCTAACGCAACTCTCACTGGAGTGGGTCCTGGAGCTGGGGCAGGCCCAGGAGAGGATTCAAGGCGCACACTGCCCCCAGGCTGTGCCTGCGTCTGCTCTCTGCCATGCTCCGCTATGTTCGAGGCCGTGCCCTCTCAGGAGGGTCTGCCCTGTGGGTTTCTGTATAGGAAACCCTCTGCAGGACCCGAAGGGCAGGAGCAGGGGCATGCCTGGGAGGGAATGCAGATTCACTGGGCAGGCACAGCTGGCACAGTGAAGCCCAGCACACCAGATGGGTCATCATTTGCTGTTTAAAATACATTCACATTTCTTTCTTGATTAGACTTTTAAAGAGTCAGTTATCGATTTCTGAGTCTTAGAAAATAATTAGTATCTGCTAAAGCTTTTGAAAATGAGGTTAGTCGATATACCAGTTATGTTTCCCTCAAAGTTTATATTCAGTCGACAGTCATGTATTCGTTAACACCACAGCACACCGGCACTTGAACCGGGAACACCCTGTGGGTGTCTGGCCCCACTGCTGAGGGAGGTGGGCTTGAGCTCAGATCGGTGAGTAGAGGGAGGTGGCAAGGCCTAGGGGGCGGCCAGGGAACAGGGGAGGTGGGCCTGGGGGCTTGTGTGGGACGTCTGCGTGGTACCAGGGAGAGGCCCATCCCCCTCCACTGGCAGCAAGGGAGGCTGGCGTCACTGTGCTCGTGTGCTGGAATTGAAACACCTTTTTTTTGAGGAGCAAAAGCATCAGCACCCATGGAGGGTGGAGCTGTGCTGGCCACAGCGTGCAGTGGGGCAGCTTCCTCTCTGCCTCCCCTGTCTTCCCGTCCTGGCCCCCACAGCCCCTCAGCTGGGCCTCCCCTAGGCCTCCCCAGGCCACTCTCCAGGCCACCAGAGGGACCCTGCTGTCCCTTGCTCATCACTGTCCCGCAGAGTAAACTTTGTGCTGCTCGGTGCGGGCCCCCTGCTGCTCTGTCCCGCTCAGCATGGCTTGTCCAGGCATGGAGGCTCTCCCTTGCTACCTGGAGGCCAGTTAACTTCTATTTCCCTCTCAGTTCTTAGCCAGCCTCTCTTGTCTCAGGAAAAAAAGCTGGAAAAACATCATGGTGCTCAGAATGCAGATACTTCATTCATGAGGATTGCCTCATTTGTCAGCATAAAATATAGCACGGTTAGTGACATGGCTGCCTGGAAATCTGGGCTCAAGCCATCCTCTGGAGTAGCTGGGATCACCAGTGTGCACCACTATGTCCAGCTAATTTTTAACTTATATTCATTTTCTGTAGAGACAGGGTTTTGCTATGTTGCTCAAACTCTTGGCCTTGAGTGATCCTCCCGCCTTGGCTTCCCAAAGAGGTGGGATTATAGACATGAGCCACGGCGTCCAGCCTGCCTGATCGTATTTTTAAATAGGTAGTGTGTGCCCGTGTGCTGGAATGGACACAGAGCGGGACCGGCACCTGAGCCTGTTTCTGAGGCAGGGCATGCCATTCATGTTCTGTGCCCAGGGACGTCCAGCCATCTCTGGTCTGCCATCTCCCAGCACTGGGCTGGACATCCTGCACCTTCCCTGTGGCCAATGACCAAGTACACCCCAGCAACAGGAGCTGGTTCTGGGCATTTATACTTTATATTTTGATCAGTGTCATCAGAGGGCTCGATCCGTGTTTGCTCCTCCCAGCAGTGCAGGAGGTGCTTCTTGGCTCAGACGTCACTGACACCATGATCTTGGCCAGGAGGACGGCTGCATACTGCTTGAGGCCTCGGCTCATGGCCGGCATCCTGTGGTGAAGCCGGCACGCGTGTGAGTGTCCCGGTGCCTTCTCCTACTTGCTGGTTGCCTGGACCTCTCTTTTCCTTTCGGTTTGTTGATGATTTACTTCTTGGAGTGTGGGTGCTGTGATGTAGAAAGGGAGCCTGCTCACCACCTGTGCCCCAGTTTCCTGTCTGTGGACTTGGCTGTGGTGCTTCTCCCTATCGAGATTTGTGCCTCTGTGCCGTGCACCGTATCAATGCTGTCTTCGTGGCTCAGGATTCACGTCTTCCTTCTGGAGGCTTTCCTCACTCCAATGTTTTGAAAAATTATCCCACATTTTCTTCTGGTATTTCTCTAATTTACATTTAAATCTTTGATTCAGTGTGTGCTGGAAGGAAGAGATCCAACTAGATTGGTTTCAGAGATCATCTTCCTCCACGTCCCACCCACTACCCTGATCATGACCGAGACGCTCAGGGTCTGTTTCTGTACTCTGTTGTGTCCTGCGGGTGACACTGATTTTGTCCCATGCATGCTTGGGATTGGGGTCTGTGTGTGCTCATGTGTTAGGTCAGCCTGGCCCTGCGTGTTTGGGATTGGGGTCTGTGCGTGCCCTCGTGTTAGGTCGGCCTGGCCCTGTGTGTTTGGGATTGGGGTCTGTGTGTGCTCATGTGTTAGGTCAGCCTGGCCCTGCGTGTTTGGGATTGGGGTCTGTGCGTGCTCACGTGTTAGGTCGGCCTGGCCCTGTGTGTTTGGGATTGGGGTCTGTGTGTGCCCTTGTGTTAGGTTGGCCTGGCCCTGTGTGTTTGGGATTGGGGTCTGTGTGTGCCCTCGTGTTAGGTCGGCCTGGCCCTGTGTGTTTGGGATTGGGGTCTGTGCGTGCTCACGTGTTAGGTCGGCCTGGCCCTGTGTGTTTGGGATTGGGGTCTGTGTGTGCCCTTGTGTTAGGTTGGCCTGGCCCTGTGTGTTTGGGATTGGGGTCTGTGTGTGCCCTCGTGTTAGGTCGGCCTGGCCCTGTTGCTTGTCTCATTTGTTCCCCTCATTTCCCGCGTAGTTTTCCACAGGAGCTTCACGCTCCACTGTGTAGTGCTAACAAGACACCCATAGGCAAGTATCGGTGTGATATGTCCGTTTAGAGAGAATTCCTGCCTATGATGTTTTGCCCCCCGTCCCCTGGTGATAGGACACTAGGCAAGCACAGAGAGTGGGCCTCCTCCCAGGACCCCTGCCCCAGAGAGAGTGGGTGTTCAAATGAGTGTATGCATGAGAGTTTCACACCTGACTTACATGCAGAAGGGGGTGCTTGCCACGTGGGAAGTTTTGGATGTTGGGATTCTTTAAGCAAGGCATTTACAGATGGTTCTGTAGACATGTTGACAGAGATGCTGGGTACAGAGGGAGCCTCACATAGCCCCTGTCCTTCTGTCCTTGGTCCCAGCACTCCTGGCTTGGCTGCCCTGTCCCGAGTGTGAGCACACTGGCGCTCAGTGTGCGTCCTCTCATGGTGCATTCGCACCTCCCACCGCAGCTCGGAGCCAGGGCTTCCGCACCAGCCCCAGCGCAGGCCTTTGAGCCTTCGGTGCCTGCTGGAGGCCTCTGCGATCACACATTTTACCTCACAGATGGTAGATCTACAGCATGGTGGATTCAAGGAAGCATTCACACTGCGCGTTTCTATCCTATCCGAGAACTTCCTTTCAGCCTTATTTTAATTTGTTTCTGTAGTAGTTGAACGTATTTGATTACTCTTTGGCTTTTTCTTTCTTAATCTAAATGCTCTTTGCGCTTTGGATGATCCTGCCAAGCATGGCCTCTGGCTGCCTTGCTGACCACCAAGGACGCTGTTGGGTCAAATCCCTGGTTTGCTCTTCTGGCCCCGAGGGGTCCACTTTTCTCTAGATTAGCAAGGTCCACACTGTGGCTTCCTTGGAAGCCCTCTGGCCAGGCCTCTGCCTGTTGCCTAGAGCACATCTGCAGACTGGGCTTAATCTACAAGGTTTAGGGTTGTTTTTGCCAGAGAGGCGTCAAAGCCACCTCACTGACCCCCTTCCTGGTTGCTGCTAGTGAGATGTGTTTTATTTATTTATTTTCGAGATGGAGTTTCAGCCCTGTTTCCCACGCTGGAGTGCAATGGTGCGATCTCGGCTCACCACAATCTCTGCCTCCCAGGTTCAAACAATTCTCCTGCCTCAGCCTCCCGAGAAGCTGGGATTACAGGCATGCACCACCGTGCCTGGCTAATTTTGTATTTTTTGTTAGTAGAGATGGGGATCACCATGTTGGCCAGGCTGCCCTTGAACTCCCGACTTCAGGTGATCCACCTGCCTCAGGCCTCCCAAAGTGCTGGGATTATAGGCATGAGCCACCAAGATGTATTTTAATTGTTGGCCTGGAGCTGGAGCCAGTTAACTCATCCACTGGGATCAGTCCTGTGGCCGCGATTTTGAGACAGTGCCATCCTGGGCAGCTTATCCTGCGCACTGTGCCGTAGGAGGCTGCTGAAGGGACAGGAGGGAAACAGCATATTTTATGATGCTGCTGAGAAGGTTCCGTGAGGCTGCTGTCAATCAGCTGCATTCCATAAAGCTGCAGCAGAAAACCAAGCCCAAAGCCCAGGGCCTCCTAACAGCACAGGTTTAGTGGCCAGCCACCCTCTCACACCTCATCTGTGGTCAGCAGGGCGTGGCTCAGCTGGAGGCTAAGGACAGCGCCTGTGGGACACACTTTGCTTACAGAGGAGACACATGCTCTGGCAGAGTGGGTGGCGGTCCTTGAGGCTGGGCTCACAATGGGCAGTCTCCCTTCCTCTTGGGCTGAGGCCAGGCTGCTCACCCAGGGATAGGGGTGCCCACGACACTGCTCGAATCAGGTGGACAAGGGTGATGAATGGGGATTTCCAGGGCACCTCCCTTGTCTTTATTCAAGAGCTTAGGAGATGCTGGGAACCAAAGTCCATTGAGGGCCATTTTGCAGACATGTCAGGCAGGAGCTGGTGTCCTAGGGTGCGTGCTATGCACGTGTGTGTCTCACGTCAGGTCCCCTGTAGATAAGTTACCAGGCTGACATGCATGGCTGAGGGCCCAGCTCTGGACACTGCCTGAGCATTTAGTGTTGAGAAGGAGCCCACATGCAGAGCAGTGTGCAGTCACGAGTATGTGGGCTTCGCATCCAGAAGGTGAACCTCGTCCCCCTTAGACTCTGCACGCTCTCCTGAGGGCACCCCGGGTTAGGAAGTAACACACGTGGAGTCCACAGCACCCAGCTGCTTTTGCTCCCAGTCCATTTGGGCAGTGCCTCCCTGCTGTGCATGGTCTTAGTGCCCTGTGTGTGCTCATGTTTTTGTGTAAGGTTAGTTGCTTTTCCTGTTCAACCCTGTGACTGTGTTCGGCCGAGTGTGCACGTGTGAGTGTGTGTGCAAGGGTGTTGTGTGAGCATGCACATGTGAATGTTTGTGTGCTCACACACACACGTGTGGAGACACACAGGTTGGGGGTCTGTGTTTCATTCCCTGCCTGTTTGAACGGGTGTTGGAGGGAACAGAGCTTGCTGCGTGTCCCGGGGCCTCCCATGGGTGGGCAGAGCGCACGCTGGGCTGGGGCAGAGGGCCGGGGTGCAGGTGCTGTCTGTGCTGGTCCCGCAGAGTTGACGGGCGCTGACCTGAAGGACTGCGTGAGCAACAACAGCCTGAGCAGTAATGCCAGCCTCCCCAGCGTGCAGAGCTGCCGGCGCCTGCGTGAGAGGAGGGTCGCCAGCTGGGCTGTGTCCTTTGAGCGCCTGCTACAGGACCCTCTCGGTGTCCGCTACTTCTCTGTGAGTAGGGAAGAGCCCGGGCCAGTGGGACAGTCTGTGCTGTGCAGAGACAGTGGAGCAGGATCTGCGGCCTGCCCTAGAGACAGCGGCACCCTGCCGGCCCCGAGCAGCCCTGTGGCACAGGTCTCCCCTCCCAGGACTGCTGCCCTCTCAAGAGCCCAGAGGAGGGTGGGTTGAGTCCTGCCCCTGGTTCTGCCCCAGGGAGAGTCCCTGGCCCTCTTGGTCTCTGCCGGGTCTCTCTGCAGCCTGCAACACTGGAGCTTCCTGTGTGCATTCAGGAGCCAGGTGCCTGCTGCCAACTCTTCAAAGAGATGTTTTGGTTTTGGGGAAACAGCTGGAAGCAGCAGCGCGGTTCTGTAAAGTGCTGGGCGGCAATGTGGTTTCTCTCCCTAGGTACTTAGGCAGCTCCCCAAGCAGCCTGTGACCCCACGGTTTCTGTAGAAGGGAAGTAAGAGGAAAGCAGGACCCTGTGTCAACGTTAATGAACGGTGTTTTTCTTAGGATTTTCTAAGGAAAGAGTTCAGTGAAGAAAACATCTTGTTCTGGCAGGCCTGTGAATATTTCAACCATGTTCCTGCACATGACAAAAAAGAGGTAAGTCCACACTGGGAAGCAGGGGCTGTGGGAGAGCAGCGTGGTCTCATTCCAGGCTGGCTTAGTGCGCACTGAGTAAGTATCTAGAGCGTTGGAAAATGGATGTTAAATATTTTCACATGGCTTGAAAAAAATCATTTCTTTTTCAGAATAAATTTTTAAATATACGTGATATTTAATTTTGCCGAAACATGGTTTGTATAAACGCCCTCAGCCACAGCTTTCACTGGCAGATGGGTTGTCTTTCAGTGTGTTGGAATTCAGAGGAAGGAATGTGTATTTAGGGGAATTTGAAAGAAAATCTGAGGCAGGAGAGCATCCCAGGCCACAGGTTTCATAGCTGCTTCTCCTGCGCCTGGTGGGAGGTGCGGGAGAAGCCTGGGAGGATGCTTCGGCCTGGTCTGGCTGCTGTTTTCTCCGTCGGCCTGTGGCCTGGCTTCCCGGCTCTGGGGCCACTTTCATCTGCTTGCGATGCTCCAAGCGGGCGGTTCTCCTGCGCCCTCACCTCTAAGACACACAGCAGTATTGCCTCTGCACAGCTGCTGCTGGGCTAGCCCAGGCCTTTGGGGCACTTTCAGTACCTGTTTAAACAGTCATGGGGGAGCCCATTCAGTGCTGCTGCATTCTGGCTGCGCTGTCATTTATTCAAGCAAGAGGTATTTCCTGGGGCCATGAGAACACATCTGTCGTGCCTGGGGGTGTTGGGCCTTGGCATGCAGCACTGGCTCGGGGAGAGGAAGCTGTCCAGGGCTGCTCAGGCGCCTTTCCTGTCAGCTTTCCTACAGGGCCCGGGAGATTTTCAGTAAGTTTCTGTGCAGCAAAGCCACCACCCCGGTCAACATCGACAGCCAGGCCCAGCTAGCAGACGATGTCCTCCGTGCACCTCACCCGGACATGTTCAAGGAGCAGCAGCTCCAGGTAACCCCAGGCCACGGGAGCTTGTGGGGAGCCCAGGCTAAGGCTCGGCGTATGTGGTCCACCTTCAAAGAACACATGTCCCAGGCAGGTCAGTGTCTTGAGAGCGTCACAGATGTGGGTGGAGAAACGCAGACAGGAAGTGGAGGTCTCAGCAGAGCCATGAAGTAAGAAGTCTTGAAGCACGCTGTGCCTGTCTGCAGCAAGCTGGCTGCTCACACTGTGCATGTGCATCTGTGTGAAATGACACCTTCATGGTGATGGTGTATCACATTTGCGGTTTTGCAGGTCGGGACTTCACTGTGGTAATGGGCACGAGGCCCCACGCTGTTCGAGCCGTGCCTCTGCATGTCGCTGCAGCACATGGGTGATGTTCGCAGAAGCGTAGGGTGGCATTTTCAAGGCAGTGTGCTGTTAGATCTCAGTCGCTTTTGGTTTTAATCATATTTAACAAAGTAAAAGTTCTCCGGAGTCTGGTCACGCTGCTGGCCTCTGTAAGTTGTCAGAATTCACTAATTTTAAGAGTGAAAAAGGCTGGTTTTTGATGAGATAGAAGGCTCAGATTCGAAGGCACACTGTAAATAACTCTGTAGTACCCTTAGGGCTGGCAGGGAAAGTGGGCTGAAATGATGTCTTTTGGAACTGGGCTAGTGGTGGCCTGCAGGTTGCCATGCAGCCCTGAACCTGTGGCCGCGGGTCTGGGTCCCCCTGTGATTGTCCTGCCTTACGTCTCCTCCCCAGATCTTCAATCTCATGAAGTTTGATAGCTACACTCGCTTTCTGAAGTCCCCACTGTACCAGGAGTGCATCCTGGCAGAAGTGGAGGGCCGAGCACTTCCAGACTCGCAGCAGGTGCCCAGCAGCCCGGCTTCCAAGCACAGCCTCGTTTCAGAGCACTCCAGTGTGTCCACGCCAAAAAAGGTGACCTCCCCGAGGCTGGCCTCACACCCCTGTGGGTTGTGTGTCATCAGCTGAGAGCTGTTCTGCGGGAGGTAAAGAGAGGCCCTGTCGGCTTCCTCACCAGTGGCTGGAAGGTTCCAGCTGCTGTTTCTGTGGTCCTGTCAGGACTACACTCAGACCCGCAGGAGCATCGGTGCCGTCCCGTACAGTGCTTGTGTTACAGCTCGGCATCACCTCCTTCGCACTTAGGTAATAGTAAAATAACTTCACAGCGTATTAACCAAGGTTTCCATTTGATGACAGTTAAATGGAAAATCCAAATCCGGGCGATCCCTGAACGAAGAGCTGGGAGATGAGGACAGCGAGAAGAAGCGGAAAGGCGCATTTTTCTTGTGGTCGCGGACCAGGAGCACTGGGAGGTCCCAGAAGAAGAGAGAGCCCGGGGACCACGCAGACGGTTTGTGGGGTGGCCCTTGGGCTGTGATGTCCAGGCCAGCCAGCCGCGTCCCCACCCAGGCTGCTGCTCTGGGCCCGGCCGGCAGGTTGAGGAAGGCTGTCTGAGCGAATAAGAAATGCCGCTGTGCCTAGGGACGTGACTGTCAGCCAGCCAGAGGGCGGCAGGGCCGCACCAGAGTCTCCCTGAGAAAGGGGCTCTGTACGCTCCAGCCTATTCCCACCTCAGGACTTTCCCCCACAGTGGTGGCTGACATCTGTGTCCTCTCCTGCTTTTCACTATAAAAGGAACAGGTGCTTCTGGTGGAAAATTTGGAAAATACAACCCAGTGAAAACAGGAACACACAAATGTGCTATTGGGTGTCTACCCTGACGGCAGCTCAGTTCTCTCAAGGGCTTTTTCCTAGGTAGCTGTCTGTGTCTGTGTCCTTTTACACGTGTGTGGTGTTCTGGAGTGTAGTAGTGTAGCTGGAGTAGCGAGCACTTTTCAAGTTAAGGTTGTTTGGTGTTGGATATCGGGGGCTGCCCGTTCTGGATGCTGTGTCCCTTTTTTCTCTTGTGCATGTCTGAGACTCCCTGTAACATAAGTTAGGCAGAGAGATGGCTCCCAGGGCACCAGGAGTGGGGCCGCAGGGCGCTTGGTGGCTCCTGGCTGAGCTCTAGATGCTAGCCTGCTGGTATTGGTGGGTGGCAGGGCAGAGGTCATGGAGATGCCCATGCTGAAGGCTGGCAAAGATGAGGCCATTCTGTACCAGGTGCTGAAAAGCACACAGGGGAAAGCTGGGAAGATTTTCTTCTCTAGAAATTTTTGAGAAAGGGATTAGTTTTCAGGAATGAGTGTCCTTCCTGAAGGTAGGGGCTGGTGCTAAGCCGGTGGTCTCCAAATTTAAATCAGGCAGTGACTTGATTGTGCTGGCACAGCTGGTACAGCCCTGGCGGAGGCAGGTGAGCGGGGTGCTCTGCGCTCCCCCGCTGCGGCTCCTGTGCCTGCTGTCCTTGCCGAGCCCTTGGTGCATGGCTGCTCCCCACCTGCATGGGGCAGCGTTGTGCCCGGGGCATGGAGGGAGACACTGGCGAGGGCATGGGCTTGGCTGGGGCAGCCCTGAGCTCCAGGCCATGCTGCGAGCTGCCCTTCTCCAAGCAAAGGCAGCTGGGAGTAGTAGAGTTCATCTTTATGGGACGCCACCTGGGAGACGAACACTGTCTTATTAGACGGGGCCTTCTCCCGAGTACCTGGGAGACGGGGGAGTGTTCGCTCCAGACACTTTCCCCTGTCCCCCACCTGGCGGATCTGAAAAGGGCTTTTATAACCCTGATAGGGCCGGGTGCGGTGGCTCACACCTGTAATCCCATCACTTTGGGGGCCTGAGGCAGGCGGATTGCCTGAGCTCCGGAGTTAGAGACAAGCCTGGGCAACATGTTAAGGCTCTACTAAAAATACAAAAAAAAAAAAAGGGCAGGTGCGGTGGCTCATGCCTGTAATCCCAGCACTTCGGGAGACTGAGGTGGGCAGATCACCTGGGGTCAGAAGTTCAAGACCACCCTGGCCAGCCTGACAAAACCCTGTTTCTACTAAAAATAACGAAATTAGCCAGATGTGATGGTGCGTGCCTGTAATCCCAGCACTCGGGAGGTTGAGGCAGGCGAATCACTTGAACTCAGGAGGTGGAGGTTGGGATTGCGGGAGCCAAGATCGTGCCACTGCACTCCAGGCTGGGCAACAGACTGAGATTCCGTCTCAAAAAAAAAAAAAAGAAAAAAGTAGCTGGGTGTGGTGGTGGGGACCTGTAGTCTCAGCTACTTAGAATGCTGAAGCATGAGAATCGCTTGAACCTGGGAGGCAGAGGTTGCAGTTAGCTGAGAACTACACTCCAGCTTGGGCAACAGAGCAAGACTCTGTCTCAAAAAAAAAAAAAAAAAAAAACCCTGAAATCTTGATAGCAGTGGGGCATGGTGGCTCATACCTTTAAATTCCAGTGCTTTGGGAGTCCTAGATGTGGAGATGAGCTGAGCCTAGGAGTTCAACACCAGTCTAGGCAACATAGCAAGACACTCATCTCTACAAAAAAAATTTTAAAAATTGGCCAAGTGTGGCGGTGCACCTGGAGTCCTAGCTATTGGGGAGGCTGAGGTAGGAAGACGAGTGCTTGGGCCAGGAGTTGGAGGCTGCAGTGAGCTACGGTCCTGCCACTGCACTCCAGCCTGAGGGACACGGTGGGGCTTTGTCTCTAAAAAACACAAAGCGAACCAAAAAATAAAACCCTGACTGCAGGCACTCCCCAGAACTAACACATTGTGGTCTTGGCCCAGGATTTGGCCTAGGCATCTGTTGTTATGGAGGGTGGCTGCAGGCTAGAGGCCAGTGGGTCTGGGAGCTGCCTTCTTTTCCCTGCTCAGGCCCCAGAGGCCATGTGCGGCGGCATGGTTTGACAGCCGGTTCTGATTTAAAAGTCCTTTCTGTGTCAGAATTTTCATGATTTGTAGCTTAGCCTAAGAATATATTTAGTTGAGGTTGGTGACAATTGATGCTTGATTATGGTTCACGTCAGGATGTCAGAGGAAAAGGACCTGCACTGAGTGGGTCGGAGGCCACATCCCACTGAGAGCGCTGGCTGCTGCCACAGTGAGGGGTTTGCAGTTAGGCCCGGAGACTACACCTGGGGATGAAAACTCCAGATCAAACGGAGGAGAGGCCCGGCCGGGACCTGCACCTGCATCCGTGTTGTGTAGCGGCACGTACTAATGTCACTGGTTGGGCACCTGCCATAAGCCAAGCACGTTTTGGAGCCAGGATGTGTCAGTGGACAGGGCAGAGGGTGGCATCTCTGCTGCATGGTGGGAAGAGCCGCATTGACCCCTGACTGGCTTCCAGGGTTAGGAAGACACATGTGACTCATCTCTGCCAGGCAAGGCGAGGCGGTGCTTGGGAGGGGCTTCCTGGCGTCTCTCCATCTGTTTAGCTTTAAGGGGTCAGAGGGTTGGGAGATGTGACCAAATAGATGGGGCTCTGATTGACATGAGTCACTGTGTTTTCCCTGTTAAGACCCCCTGCATGCCAATGGAGGCCTGTGTCGCCGAGAGTCCGAGGGCTCTGTGTCCTCTTCGGGGAGCCTGGACCTGGTGAGTTCACTGTCTCCTCTTGTCCCTCAGGCCTCAGGGCTGCCCCCAGCAGCTGATTGCTGACCTCCCTCACATGGAAACCCGTGTTTACAAAACCCAGCATTCATTCTGTAAAGCTAGGGTATGAGGCTCAGGTGCTAGCCCAGGTGCCGTGGCAAAGTGCAGGGCTGGCCCAGGGCCTCATCAGGCCCCAGCCTTGCGGTCCCCCAGCCTAGGGTTCCTGAGATGGCACAAAAACTATGACTTACACAAGGGAGGGAAGTAAAAGTATCTTTGGGTTTATTTCTTAAATCCTCTTGTTGTGATTTAATGAAGAGATCTTGAACTCCCACTAGGAATAAGTAGAGGCTTTGTGAGCAGGCGCTCCTACCTCCCCGTGTGAGATCCCATCCACTCTCGCGCTGCAGGCTTTGTGCCTCTGTCTCCGGGCCACTTGTCTGGCCTGCACTCTCTCTCACGCCTGCTCACTACTTGGCTGGTGCTTGTCCTGGCCCCAGTGTCCAGCAGTTGAGGGAGATGAGTGGGTACAGGCAGGACTCATGAGCTAGTTAGATTTTGTTTGATAGGAATTTTGGAAAACCTCACGGGTTGCCAGCATCCTAGTCATTTGAAATTTTCCAGCAGTAATTAATATAGAATATAATTTATCTTCAGTCGTTCCAAATAACACTGGAAGCTATAAGGATTTACCAAGTTTCAGCTCCTGCTGCCTAATACCTCCTACCCGCACACTCAGAGGCTTAAAATGATTACTATTGTTAAAAACAAGGGGGAGAGATCCAAGATGGCTGATTACTAGCAGCTCAGGATCGTAGCTCCCAGTGAAAGCGCAAAGAACAAGAGGACGCCACACTTTCAGACGAATTTTTGTTGCTCCCGGAGCAGGAGATTCCCAGCAGAGGAGCCCCACGGGTCACCAATGTGACTCTTGTGGCTGGCATGATGGTTTTGCTGGTGCCCCGGCTTGGTGGTTCTTGGTGCAGAGTAAATGGGACTAGGTCCCTTTTTGGTCGACGTTTGGAGCTCTGGGAAGGCAGAGTCACCTATTCAACTGGTTGAAAAAGGGACTCAACAAGGAAGCCAGACCGGAGATTCCTGGGCAGAAAAGCACCTTGAATCTTAATGCCGCTGTTTTAGCCGGCTCAGTGGGTTGCTCAGATTCCGGCATTGGGAATCAACAAGTTGGACGTCCACTCAGAGACCTAATTTGAAAGTCGGTAATTACAAAGACGACAGGTGGATAAATTTACAATGATGGGAAGAAACCAGCATAAAAAGCCTGAGAATACTCAAAACCAGAATGCCTCTCCCTCTACAGAGGATCACAGTTCCTCATCAACAAGGGAACAAGGCCTGATGGAGAACGAGTGCATTCCATTAACAGAATTAGGCTTCAGAAGGTGGATAATAAGAAACTTCTGTGAGTTAAAAGAACATGTTCTAGCCCAATATAAAGAAACTAAGAACTTTGAAAAAACGTTTGACGAAATCCTAACGAGAATAGACAATTTAGAGAGGAATATAAGTGAATTAATTGAACTGAAGAATACTATATGAGAACTCTGAGAAGTATGCACAGGTTTTAACACTTGAATTGATCAAGCAGAAGAAAGGATATCAGAGGTCGAAGACCAACTTAGTGAAATGAAAACGAGAAGACAAGATTAGAGAAGAAAGAGTAAAAAGGAATGAGCTAAGTTTCCAAGAAATATGGGACTATGTGAAAAGACCTAATTTACGTTTGATAGGTGTACCTGAATGTCATAAGAGAATGAATCCAAGCTGGAAAGTATTCTTCAGGATATTATTCAGGAAAACTTTCCTGACCTAGTAAGGTGGGACAATACTCAACTCCAGGTAATACAGAGAACACCGCAAAGATATTCCTCAAGTAGAGCAACCCCAAGGCACATAATCGTTAGATTCACCAGGGTTGAAATAAAAGAGAAAATTCTAAGGGCAGCTAGAGAGAAAGGTCAGGTTACCCACAAAGGGAAGCCTATCAGACTCACAGCAGATCTCTCAGCAGAAACCCTATAAACTAGAAGAGAGTGGGGGTCAATATTCAATATCCTCAAAGAAAAGAATTTTCAACCCAGAATCTCATATCCAGCCAAACTAAGCTTCATAAATGAAGGAAAAATAAAAGTTTTCACAAACAAGCAAGCACTCAGAGATTTCACCACCACCAGACCTGCTTTACAAGAGCTTCTGAAAGAAGCATTATACACAGAAAGGAAAAACCAGTATCAGTCATCCCAAAAACTTATGAAAAGGTAAAGAGTATCTCCATAATGAAGTATTTATATCAACTAATAGGCAAAATAGCCAGCCAGCATTAAATGACAATGTTAAACTCACAAATATCAATATTAATCCTGAATTTAAATGGATTAAATGCCCCAATCAAAGACACAGACAGGCAAATTGAATAAAAAGTCAAAACCCATTGGTACACTGTATCCAGATCCATCTCATAAGCAAGGACACACAAAGACTCAAAACAAAGCGTTGGTGAAAGACTTACCAATCAAATGGAGAGCCAGAAAAAACACAAAAAAAACAAAAAAAGACAGGAGTTGTAACTTTCGTCTCTGACAAAATAGACTTTAATAGTAACAAAGACTAAAAGAAACAAAGAAGGACATTACATAATGATAAAAGGATCAATGCAACAACAGGAGTCAATGATCATAAATATATCTGCACCCAATATAGGAGCACCCAGATACATAAGACAAGTTTTCAATGACTTATAAAGAGACTTGGACTCCCGCAAAATAATAGTGGGAGACTTTGACACCACGTTGTTAATATTTGACGGATCAACAAGATAGAACATTAACAGGGACATCTATGATTAGAACTCAGACCTGGAACAAGTAAACTCAGTGAATATTTATAGAGTTCTTCACCCCAGGTCCACAGAACATACATTTTTCTCAGTATCAGATTACACCTATTTTGAAAGTGACCACATAATTGGAAGTAAATCACTCCTCAGCATTTGCACAGCATTTCACAGACTTAAATGAAATATCGGTTGGCTGCTTGTTATTTTCTTCCCTTATTCCTTCTTGTCTCCGCTGTTAAGTACACTTATCGGCATAAAAGAGGCTTTTAATACCTATTTCTAGATTGCATTCCAGCCTGGGCAATAGAGCAAGACTCTTGTTCTCTCTCCCTCCTTTCTCTTTCTCTTCCTTTCTTTAACAAAACAAACAAAAAAAAAGATCATTATTGTGCTGTGTCTCTGGGTCAGCTTGGTGGTTCTGCCCATTCTGGCCAGTCTTACCGTGTGTTTCTGGTTACCTGGCACATGAGCCAGCTGGCTGGTCCCAGAGGCCCTCAGTTGCATAGCTGGCCCTTCTTGGCCCTTGGCTGGGGCAGGAGCACCAACAGGACCCCTCATTTGCCTCACTCAGCGGGCCAGCTCACCCTGTCCCACAGCCATCTCAGGGACCCTGACAGTGAGCAGAGCAGGATGGCTCTGGAGGCCCAGGCTTAGAGCTGCTCATTCTGCCCACCCGGGTCTGGGCTGGGGCTGACTCCACATCTTCATGGGAGGAGCCACAAAGGTATATTGTGAGGGGTATGGACACAGGGAAGGAGATGGTTGGGACCATTTGTGCAGCCAGACTGCCACTGCACAAACTAGTTTCCTGAAGTCATGCTCTGGGAGAAGAGACCTCAGACTGCCAGAAGGCAGTGAGAACTAACATTCCAGGTGAGGTTTCCATCAGAACGCTGTGCATGGGAGCTGTGTAGACAGAGGACAGGGGCTGGAACCCAGAGCCCCAGGAGGGAGTGGTCCACACAGGACGGCTCTGCTTCTGGGTGGAGAACCGGATCTGCCTGCTGAGCAGAGCCACGTAAGGGCCCATGCTGTCTTGAGCTTGATGGCCGGTGAGGCCCTGAGCTGAGAGAACGATAACTGTTCTCCCAACACCCAACACCTTAGGCAGTGTGGACTGAGCCTGAGAGATGTGCACCTGTGGAGCTGCGGGTGGGACGGTGGCAGGGCACCAGCTCCCCAGTACAAGCAGCCTGAGCCTGGGCTGCCCCAGGAGGTGCCCCAGGAGCTACAGGTGAGGGCGCTAGCCTCCCCAGTACGAGCAGCTTGGGCCTGGGCTGCCCTGGGAGGCACCCCGCACCCCCGTGACGCTGGCACCTGCACGGCTGTTTGTCTTCCTGCTCCCCAGTCGGAGGCCTGCAGGACCCTGGCGCCCGAGAAGGACAAGGCTACCAAGCACTGCTGCATTCACCTCCCGGATGGGACATCCTGTGTGGTAGCTGTCAAGGCAGGCTTCTCCATCAAAGAGATCCTGTCCGGACTCTGTGAGCGGCATGGCATCAACGGGGCGGCCGCGGACCTCTTCCTGGTGGGCGGGGACAAGGTACTGACCCGCCTGACCTTCATGCTGCCCTTAGGCCATGGCCTGCCCACTGCTTGTCCCTTGGCTTTGCTAGAGTCCTCCCGCTGCCCCTCCTCTGCTCCTCATTTCAGCAGTGCCTGGGGTGGAGGCCGGGTGATCTGAACTGAGCTCTCTGCTGGGAACACTTTGCATGTGGGTGCTAGGTTGGTGTGGAAAGAGTGATCACTTTCTTTGGATAGCTATTTCTGAAGCTGCTCTTTTGCTCTGCACAGCTGTGCACCTGGGGCACAATGTTCTGCCTTTCAGGGGCTGCATGCTGTGCCCATGTTGATTCTGGTCCTTTGTTCCCCAGCCTCTTGTGCTGCACCAAGACAGTAGCATCCTGGAGTCAAGGGACCTGCGTCTAGAAAAGCGCACCTTGTTTCGGTGAGAGGAAGATGCTGTTATCACCTGAGGTTCCCAGAGCCCACCCGGGTGCCCACTACCTGCTGGTCTCTGCGCTTAGTGGGTAGCCTGTGGTACCTTACTGATGCTCCATGCTGGGCTATGATGGGGTGTCGGTGGGGCAGGGGGTGGAGGTCCACATTAGGCAGCCCTCTGCAAGCCGAGGGGTGAGAGGGGCCCTCTCCCTCCAGCCTCGTGAACAGGGGCTGCCCTGGCCTGGTGAGCACAGCCCCCTAAGATGCAGAGAGGGAGGGGCAGGTAACCAGGCTGTCGTGGGAGGAGGAGGCCACAGCCCTGGCTTGGCCTGGCATTTTCCATGTGGAGACCAGCTTACTGACCATCCACTTACTGACCAGCTGGGGGTTGAGGGCGGCCTGGGCCTGTGCTATAGTTCTGCTTGTGAGACTGAGCTCCTAATGAGGGCTGACATGAGTTTGTAGTGAATTTTTCCATCCCCCACCAGGCTGGATCTAGTACCGATTAACCGGTCAGTGGGACTCAAGGCCAAGCCCACCAAGCCCGTCACGGAGGTGCTGCGGCCCGTGGTGGCCAAGTATGGGCTGGACCTCGGTGGCCTGCTGGTGAGGCTGGTGAGTACTGCATTGGCGTCGGCACCGTGGGAACTGTCTGTTCCCTTTGGCAGCCTCTGTGTTGTTCGCTGAAGAGGACACACCAGGAAGTGATGTCTTCCCCTGATCTGGTTGTCCCCTAGAGGAGAGGACACAGCCTCTGCCATCTGCAGTTCTGGTTCTGGGCAGTGGAAGCCATCATTGTTTCTTTCCAAAAATAATTGATATTTGAGATGTGGTTTTGCTCCAGGAAGGCCAAAATGAGAAACAAACCAACCAACCCTGGAATATCCGCGACCACTGGCAAATGTGATCAGATAACGGCGTGCAGATGGCCCCGCCCCCACTGCACCTGCTGGGCACGGGCATTGTGCTGGTGGTCCAAGTGCACGATCACGTGTGCATGTCCTGATTCTCACCTGCGCTTTAGATTCCAGAACGCAGCTGATGTTTTCAGCCCGTGCCGTTATGTTGTGAATGGGGTTAGGAAAGAAAACCCCGCCTGGGGTGGTGCAGCAGGCACCGGGTGGGCCACGAGAGACAGGGAGAGCTGGGCCTCACTGGGTGTGCTCCGGAGCATGGGGGTTTAGGGCACAGTGTCTGCCTTGCCTTCTTCCCTTGTCAACTTCATTAGAGCAGTGATTTCAAGTATTTTCAGGATATTAATTTTCCCTGAAACTGCACTCAGATGTATTCAATGTATTCACTTTGAAGTGAATGAGAAGAACCTATTAAATTATTTACAGATACCAGCTCCGAGGGTAACCTGAAGCCTCTTCCCTGCACTGTGGGGTCCCTCCTGGAGTCTGGAAATCTGCTGGTCAGAGACAGACCCGGCCTGGCTTCCAGTGTGCCCCTGTGGCCGGCTCTGGAGATCCTAAGCAATTGCTTAGCCCCGGGGGTCACAGTTTCCCTGTCTGTAATATGGTCATGGCGGCACGCTCGTGGCATTGTTGGGAGGCACCAGGGTGGAAGGCTGGCCGCGGTCAGGCTCGTTCCTGTGAGCTGCAGCCCTCGGCTGCCAAGGTCTCCAGGCCAGGCAAGGTTAGGGCCGTGGGGGCTGCGAAGGATTCGTGTGGAATGGGTTGTTTGGGATGTGGCTTTTTCTTGGATGCTTTCTCCTGTCCTCGCCAGTGAATTCCTGGGCCCCCTATGCCCACGAATGTGGTGGAGGAAGTGGAACGTGGGGCACCTCCTCTGCTCCGCCCCCAGGGCCCACTACGCCTGCCCAGTGAGCCGGCCCCTCAGGAGCTCAGAGCCTCTCCCCCTGGCGCTGGACGGACAGATTGTGAATGGCAAACAAGTTGCTTTGTGATTACGGCAACGAGTCAGACTCTGCCAGAGGAGAGCTCCCCCCGGAGACGAGGGCTCTGGCTGGCGCCGCTGCACTCCAGCCTCAGACCTGCTCCTAAAGTGGTGTCTGCCTCCTTGTTTACAAAGGAGAGTATCTGCTCTCAGTATCCCCTCCTAGTGTTCGAGGATTGCTGAGTGGGTTTTTAGGGAGGCTGCCATCCAGGTTGTGAATGATGTGGAGACTTCTATGAGCTTTAGTTCCTATTTCAGAGTATGTTCATGCATTTTAAAGCATTAAATGTGTGGGCGAAGGTGCTTCTGGGGTTCACACATGTTGTCCTGCCCCTGGGCCTTGGAGGGGCTGGTGCAGAAGCTGCTGCCTACGCAGTTCCTCAGGGCACTGCTTCCTGGGGCCAGCCACGGGGACCAGAGTTAGTTACCCCCGTTAGGAGCCCGGCCCAGCCCTGGCCCGTGTGCCTGAGTCAGGCAGGCCTCATCTCCTACGTGACTCCATTGAGCCTAGGATGGCTGTGCAGTCAGGGGTGGGGTCTCACACACCTGTCCCCTGAAGTTCCAATCCCGGTCAATTATTCAGTGCCCATCTCTGCCCTAGAGTGGAGAGAAGGAGCCTCTGGACCTCGGCGCCCCTATATCAAGTCTGGACGGACAGCGGGTTGTCTTGGAGGAGAAGGACCCTTCCAGAGTAAAGGGTGAGTAGGCCAGCACAGGGGAGGGGGCGAGTTGGGCTGGTGCAGGGGGGAGGGGGAATGAGGCCAGCGCAGGGGAGGGGGCTGTAGGTCTGGCACAGGGGAGGGGGCAGGCAGGACTGGTACAGGAGGGAGGGGGAGTGGGACCGGTGTAGGGGAGAGGGCAGGCCCAGGGAATGGGGAGGCTTTGGAGTCAGCACACAAAAGGGAAATGGTCTAGTCCCCTTCGTCCCTCCTCGGTGCCCTGATCTGGCACCCTTCCCTCCAGACACGAAACAGGAAGCCAGGACAGTAGACAGCTGTGCCCTGCCCGGCAAAGTGGGAGCCTGCCTTGGTCATGACGGTCCTGCCATGGGGAAGCTGGGGTCCGTCCAGCAGCCTTCAGAGATTGGCTTGCTGCCCAGCCCCAACCTGGTGCTGATGCACAGGAGCCAGCCCTCCTCAGAGCCCTGGTTGAGAGCCTTGCATGAGGAAGGTTACTCAGACCCAGGCGAGTGGGTCCTGTTTGTAGCAGAGGGACAGGCAGAGGCGTGGCCTTGGGGCCTGCAGGTGTAGGTGCTGTAGGGAGGTGTGTCTGTTGGAGAGAGCTTTCTGGAAACCCACCTGCAGATGCTCTGGATAGAGAGCTCACTTTGTTAGGAGCCACTTCAGGTGACATTGGGCTGCCCCTCTGTTTTTCAGGATGTTGGCCCTGATGATGTCACGTAGGGCACATGTGGCTCACTTGTCCCCACCCAGGGAGAGTTGGGCCATGGGTCTCAGGCAGAAGCAAATGCTGAGGCCATCAGCCTTGGAGCTCCAACCCTTGCTCCCCTCCCCAACTCGTCATAGAGCAGAGACCCTTCCCCCAGGTCACCCTTTGCTCTAGGGAAAGCCTCACCCCAGATCCTGACCCCAGGCAGGTGGAGTGAGCACAGCATGTGTAACCCAGCAGGGCGGCCACCAGCTTTGCCCCGGCTGGCCCTCAGTGTCTAGGGTCCACTGGGGCTTAGGGCTTGTTTGTGCATAGGCAAGTCCCATGGGGGCTGGAGTGAGGCATGCAGCATTTTTGTTGGGCTGTATGTGGGGCAGGACCTCGACTCCTCTAGTAACATCTTGGCCAGAGAAATGGGCTTGAGACTGTTAGTGCCAGCAAAGGCCAGCCTGTGGCCTTGACCTGGGGCAAAGACCATATTTCAAAATATGTGCTGGCCAGGCACGGTGGCTCATACCTTTAGTCCCAGCACTTTGGGAGGCCAAGGCAGGTGGATCACCTGAGGTCAGGAGTTTGAAACCAGCCTGGCCGACATGGTGATACCTCATCTCTACTAAAAATACAAAAATTAGCCAGGCATGGTAGTAGGCGTCTGTAATCCCAACTACTGAGGAGGCTGAGGCAGGAGAATCTCTTGAATCCGAGAGAAGGAGGTTGCAGTGAGCTGAGTTCATGCCACTATACTCCAGCCTGGTGACAGAGCGAGACTCTGTCTCAAAAAAAGGAAAAAAATAAATATAAGACTGTGACTTTCTAAAGAATATTTATGCCGAATAGTATATGAAATGAGCTTTTCAATTTCAACATCACTCTTCCACAAAGTTCCCAGTTAGATGTACAGAGCCCCGCTGTGTGCGTGGAGGACGGGCCTCCTCTCCTGCCCCTGGGGTCTCTCCTGCGGACTGTGTGTGGTGCATAAGGGCAGCAGATACCTTGCGGCTTCTGTGCAGCTTTGCTGTCAGAGACAGTGGGAGCAGGTTGTCTATAAAACGTAGAGATGGATTTGCAAGTCCCTGAAATCATAAAGCTTTCTGATTATGTTTAGCATCCACAGATAAACAGAAAGGCGCTCCAGTCAAACAGAACACAGCTGTCAGTTCCAGCTCCAGAAACCACTCGGCTACGGTAATTCCCCGCCCTGGCCCACCCTGTGCCCCGCTTCCCTCTGCGGCCCGCCTGCTCTGCACAGCGCCCGGGTGCTTCTCCCACCTGCTTGTCACTGTGTGTCTCCCGCACACGCCTTGGTGGGGTCTGTCCTGTCCCTGCCGATGCCCAGCTCCCTCTTACCTGTGAAGGACCAGCTGCCGGCTTTCTTTTCATCTGAGGTGGGGTGGTTGTACCTTCAATGCTGTTCTAGTTTGTAATCTTCATCATTGCAATTGGCTTTTCTGCAGTGCATGCGAATTCCGTGTCAGTGCAACCCGTGTTTCATAGAACCTTCTCATCTATCACTAATGAATGATATGCTGTCATGTATTGAAATGAAAGTAGAACTTTGACTTTCCTTCTAATGCAGGGAGAGGAAAGAACACTAGGCAAGTCTAATTCTATTAAAATAAAAGGAGAAAATGGAAAAAATGCTAGGGATCCCCGGCTTTCAAAGAGAGAAGAATCTATTGCAAAGATTGGGAAAAAAAAATATCAGAAAATTAATTTGGACGAAGCAGAGGGTATGTGAACTTTTTAAAACTTGCACGTTTGTAGTAAATGCGCAGTTTTCAGTATAGTCAGTAGAGCTGCTCGGAGCCGTCAGCATCTGGGTGACTGCGGATATTCTCTGTGGCCTGGAGGATACACGCCTCCTGGGGGCAGGCAGGGGGCTGTTGGGATCACTTCACCAAAACCCCAGTTTTCAGACCGAGTGCCAGGCTCCTAGGGTGTCAGGGGCAGCCGATGTGAGCAGCACCATCTGCCCGGAGATGCCACAGGCTCCGCCAGGCTCTGCCTCTGTCTCGCCCAGGCTCCTGCCCATGACCCCACCTCTGGCTTGCACCAGGGTCCCCAGCGTGGATGGAGGCACAGTTAGCATTAGAGGCCACACTAGGCAGAGCTGGGTGCCCAGGAGAGGGGAGGCGGAGCACCTGGCCTCGAAGGAAGGGCCGTGGGCTTGCTGATCTCTCTTGGCCACAGGGTCAGTGAGGCAGGTCAGCCTGCATACCCCGACCTCCAGGAGAGCTGGCAGGCGTACCTGGAAGACTGAGTTGGAGAGACGAGTCCTTTCTTGATGCTGCTTTTTCCTCCAGAAGCTTGTAAAAAAGAGAAGCATTGAAAACAGAATCAAAACCAGCAGCTGTCACTGTGACCTGGATTTTCATCCAGGGCATATTTGCCAGTGCACTTGGCTTGTCATGGCTCTGTCACAGCTGGCTGTGGAGTCTGAGCTCACAGTAAAACCATAACATATACCCCCAGCTTTTGTTGGCCACCAAACACAAGTAAATCACATGCCCTCTTTGAGGCTCGCACGTTTCTGAGAACCATGAAATCGGAGATTTTGGATTCCTTGTGGTTGTTAAAAAGTCAGAGTGTGATTTCAGTGCTAGAGAAATCCCAGTTTAGACACCATCTATCTCGAATGGTGGCCTTGGGGCCTGCTACACTAGAAAATCCAGCCCAGTTAAGAAGAGAGCTCTGGGGGAGCCAGCAAAGAAGCTGGAGGTGCCTGCGGGCCCTGGAGTTGTTGGGCAGTGGGAGGCCCAGGGGCACCCGTCCTGGCCCCTCGGGGCTGTGGAGCTCCGGCAGAGAGAGAGGGAGGGCACGTGTTGCCCCCTCTGTCCTAGGCCTGGAAGGGCCACCCTCCGCCCAGAGGCACTGACCCACAAGAGGCAGGCATGGATTTGAAGGTGCCCTTCCCAGACCACCCATCTTAGGGCCTTCCTCTCCTCCCTCCTTGGGTTCATCCTGCTCCTGACTTGGAGGACGGCAGCTGTAGCCAGGACTCAGTGATGCCTCAGACGCTGACTACCCAGAGAAGGGGCCAGTCCTCAGAGGGCCCCAAGTCCTCAGCCCAGGCCAGAGAACCCCACAGTGTCCTACTCAGACAGCACCAGTGCATAACCACGTGGAGTCAGGGGTCTCGTTGATTCACGTCTGGACCTCACGCAGCTGGGTTTTCAGACTCCCCAGAAGCTGCAGGGCCCTCCCTTCCTCTCTGCAGGAAGACAGTGTGGACGGAAAAGGACTCTTCTTGACCCACAGCCGATAGGGTGTTAGGACAGCCCAGGATAAGAGTTTTCTAGAATGTTCTGCTGTGATGGTCATTAATGTGAAACTCTCTAAAACAGTCACTCTGGGTTTTCTTCCAATAGAGTTTTTTGAGCTTATTTCCAAAGCTCAGAGCAACAGAGCAGATGACCAACGTGGGCTGCTAAGGAAGGAAGACCTGGTGCTGCCAGAGTTCCTTCGTTTACCGCCTGGTTCTACAGAACTGACCCTCCCCACTGCGGCTGCCATGGCCAAGGGCTTCAGCAAGAGAGGCGCAACAGGCAGTGGCCGGGAGAGTGCCTCCCAGCCCAGCGAGCAGTGGGAGCCCGCCCAGGAGAGCAGCGACAGCCCATCCACCAGCCCGGGCTCTGCCCCCAGCCCCCCTGGGCCTCCTGGGACGACTTCCCCTGGGCAGAAGTCTCCCAGCGGGGCCTTCTGTACCCCCCAGTCCCCCAGCTCCCTCGAGCAGGAGGGCACCACACAGATCTGGAAGAGGCAGTCTCGGGAAGTGGAGGCCGGGGGCATCCAGACGGTGGAGGATGAGCATGTGGCTGAGCTGACCCTGATGGGGGAGGGGGACATCAGCAGCCCCAACAGCACCTTGCTGCCACCGCCCTCTGCCCCCCAGGACGCGCTGGAACCTTCAAGACCAGGTACCTCCAGGTTCTGATCCCCTCCACCTTGGCCCCGTCAGCGTGGTCTGCTCAGCTTCCAGTCAGAAAGGACAGAGGGCCCCCAGCTGCCACTATTTGCTGGCAGTCTCCGTGGCCCCTCCTCACCTGCTGTTTGGGGGCTTCCTGGCCCTCTCGGAAAGGAGGGGCTCATGTGGCCCCAGGCCAGTGTCTATTAGGATGGTCCCCCTGAGGTGCTCCTGGCAGGCGTCCTGGTGCCCCGAGAGGCTCTCGAAGGAATGATGCGTGGCAGTGCCTGTGTCCGGGTCTGGGAACACCCTGGGCGAGGCCTGGGGGCTTCTGAAAATGGGAGGCCTTCCTTTCCAAACTTGGACAGCGCCCGTTTTTAGTGTTTATGTCTCAAGACTGAAAAACAATAGCACTTGTCTTGAGGAAGTGAAGCCCCTGTATTTATAGCAGGAGAGGGCTCTGAGACACAGGCCCATCCTCAGAGAGAGCCTTGAGAATACAGCTGGGACCACCAGCAGCCCCCACAGCAGGTGCTGTGGGTGCTCGGGAGTCAAGTGACGTCAGCAGGGCTCCTTGACCGTGGGTGTCACAAGCATTTCTCAAAGGAGTCAGGGGAGTCAGTGGGTGTTAAGGTGAACAGGATGGTCTGGCAGCAGGGATATTTCCATGAGCCACAAAATTCAGAAACTGAGGCAAGGCTCCCAGCAGGAGGCAGGGGAAGCTGTTTCCAGGGGTCCGAGGGCTGTGGCCTACGTGGCCGTCCCCTGGAAAGAGGAGCCACTCAGGGCGTGTGTCATGGAGCGTGCTTGGGGTGTGTGGACACCGCGGATGGTCTACTGGGGGTGATGGGAGCGCCTCTCCGTCCTGCACCCTGGTCCGGGATGTTGATGGCAGTGGGAATCCTGCCACCGGGTCTGGTCTGATCAGACCTGTAACCTGGACCTTGCTGGGGGACCAGGGAGTGCACATCTGTAAATCTGTACATATCTGGGCTTTGGGGGACACATGTGGTATGGGAGGGGCTCCCTGGTCCCTTTCCCAGCCAGGACATGCCTGGGTGAGAAAGCCTGAGGTGCTCGGCGTGCCCACTGGTGCCACTCCGCAGCCTCTGCCCCTGGCCCAAGTCCCCTTGTCCCATCTCCAGACACCTGTGTGGCTGTCACCTGCGTTTTGAGTCTGTTTTTCCAGGAGTAATAAACTCTGGGCCCGAGACTGGACTGCCTGGCTTCCAACTTGCCTTTCTCATTTGAAGCTTTGTTTCCACTGTAGAAAATAATAAAAATGTTTAATCTGCAGGAAATATTACACATTTTAGGGGATGAAATGGATTACCTTAATCTCCCAGCTTTGGCCTGCCTGTAATCCCAGATACTCTGGAGGCTGAGGCAGAAAAATTGCTTGAACTCAGGAGGCGGAGGTTGCAGTGGGCTGAGATCGCACCACTGCACTCCAGCCTGGGCGACAGAGTGAGGCTTAGCCTCAAATAGATATATATATATATGCATGCATATCATTCACTGAACAAAACTCTGAGCGCCTGGTGTGCTCCCAGTGGCACAGTTATGCGACAGGACGGCAAAAGGGCTGGTGACCCCGTGGGTGGGTGCTGAGATGAGCTGTCCCTCTGGCCCTCAGGCTGCAGTCCCTTGCCCACACCCCAGCCACGTGGCCCTGGGGCTGGGACTGGCACTGTGCACAGATCTGGGATGTGGGGTGTGTCGGGCTGCCTGGGAGGGCCAGACAGACCCACATGTTCTCTCTCCTGCCAGGGGCCATTAGCATGGAGGTGGTTTACAGTACAGGGCCCAGCCGAGCACCCGCAGCTGATGTCCCTGATGTGTTGGTGGCAGGAGGGTGGGAGGTGCCGGCCTTGAGAGGAGCAGGTCCCCCTGCTCTGGTGGCTGCCCCCAACTGCAACTGGCCAGAACCAGCTCTCCACCCCACTGGCTCCCCAGCCCCTGGGCAGTTGGGCACCCCGGGCCCTTGGCTCTTGGGCTGTCTCCTAGGAGGAGACCCAGCAGGAGAAAGGGGTGGGAGTGGCTTCGGCCATAGGTCATAGGTCTGTGTCCACCACGTGCCTGTCCCTGGCAACACCAGACAACTACCGAGGACCTGCCCAGTCTTCCTGGTGGTGCTGGCTGCAGGTTGCTTGGGGAGGGGACGTTGGGACAGAAACTGCTCTGTACAGCTTGCTTTCTGGAGCCCTCACTCTAACGAGATTCTCTGTATTGGAGAGGTCCTTGTGGCATGGGCCTCGAGTCAGTCACCTGCCCGTGGCTGTGAGTGCCATAGTGGTGTGATGGAGCCTCTTTCACAACCATGGGCTGGGGTGAGCCTGGACTGAACGCTCACCCGTCATCGTCAGGGTTTAGGAGCTTGGGAGTCATCCCCGGTCACACTTTATGACTTTGACAGTTGGTGCCTCCTCACAATGTGGCAGCCACCCTGGACCTAGTATCTGGGGTGGAGATACACAACACAGGCTCCTGCCCACTCACTCCATAGTCACGGTGGGTGGCATGCCAGCCTCTGAGGTAGGGGGAGTCTCCATAGAGCTGCACCACGCCACCCTGCCCTTCCAGCCTCGGCACCATGCACGGTGCCACTCCTAGCCCCAGCGCCATGCACCACATGGTGCTCCACCCCACCCTTCTAGCCTCAGCATCACCCACCATGCCATCCCGTCCTTCTAGCCTCAGCATCACCCACCATGCCATCCCGTCCTTCTAGCCCCAGTGCTGCATGCCACATGGCACTCCACTCCATCCATCTAGCCCCAGAGCCATGCCCCGAGACCTGTCGGGTCCTGCCGGCTGGCTAGTACCCCCACCATGCGTGTCTGGTCCCAGAGGAATGCGGGCAAGTCTCATCTTTTGGCTACTTGCCACCAGGCCACCAGTCTCATGCCCCTGAGCCTTAGCTCTTTGACACACACAACAGAGGCTCCAGGCGGGAGAAGTGCCAGGCCCCTCACCAGGCTCCAGGGCACTCTGAGGGGGCGTGCATGTGTCCACACAGTGCCGTGTGTATTAGTCTGTTTTCATGCTGCTATGAAGGACTACCCAAGACTGGGTAATTTATACAAAGAGGCTTAATTGACTCAGAGTTCCGCATGGCTGGGGAGGCCTCAGGAAACTTACAGTCAGGGTGGAAGGCACCTTTTCACGGGGCACAGGAGAGAATGAGTGCCAGCAGGGGAAATGCCAGGCGCTTATAAAACCATCAGACTCCATATCACGAGAACAGTATGGGGGAAACACCCCACCCCATGATCCATTTACCTCCACCTGGTCCCGCCCTTGGCATCTGGGGATTTGGATGGGGACACAGAGCCAAGCCACACCCATGTGTCAGGCAGATACGCTCATGTGCGTGCACACCTGGTGTGTGTGCGTGTGGCCCGTGTCTGCATGGCACACGTTTTGTGCATGTCTGTGTCTTCGCTCACCTCTTGTTCTCATGGGGAGGGAGCAGTCCCTCCAGCACCATTGCGTCCCGCCTTTAGAAGCCATCCTCCATCCTACACTGAAGCAGACGCTCTTTGTGTTTTCACAAAGGAGAGAGGTGTTCAAAAGGTCACGTGCGCCCCACCCCAGTTTCCAATGCACAGTGCTTCTTCCATACGCACAATCTGAAAACGTGTTCATTCCGGGTAAGTCCCAGATCTTCTCAACCAGATCTGTTCAGTTTACAGCAAAAAACCCGGAAGCTGGGTGGTCTCACTGCTGGCCAGCTGGCTGCAAGGCCACAGTCAGGGGTCCTGGCTGGCAGCTGGAGGCCAGTGGCTCCTCCCAGCCCCTTTGGGAAGGCTGAGTGCCCAGCACCGTGGCCAGGCTGGGCTCCTGGTGCAGAGGTCCGAAGAGGATGCAGACTCCACATGCTGCTAGGGAGGTGCCAGGCACCTCCTCAGGAGGGGGTCCCCGTACAGCTGTCCTGGGGCTTGGGTCCCCCGGGGCAGCTCACTGGGTGGGGGCAGGGGTCACTCAACCTGGAGGCCCTAGTGTCACAGCTACCAGTGTCTCCAAGGGACACATTTGGGCCCAGTGGCTCTCAGGCGCCTGGAGCTCAGCTACCTGCCAGGTGCACGCTGGTCTCCAGCTCTCCACAGATGCTTGCCTGCTGGGATGTCTGTGTCCTGGGGGTGAGTACCCCCCGTGGCACTGCCACTGTGTCATCCCTGCTGAAGCCCGGGTGAGGATGCAGCCCTGCCCGGCTCCTGCTCTGAGAGAGGCCTCCTTGGCAGGTCCCGTGCCCAGCCCTCTGCAAGAACAGATGTAGCTTAGACGCCCTCACTGTGATGTGGATTGAGAAGTGCTGGCTTTTTCAGGGACACAGTCACCAGAGCCAGCCACTGGTCTCAGGCTTGCAAAGCTGCTGGGCACCTGCTACGTGCCTCTCTAGAACCGCCTCTCCCCAGAACACCTCCTGGCATCTGCCCAGCCTCATGGCTCCCCAGGGACTTCCTGAGCTGACCAGTTGGCCTGGGCCCTCCTCCACAGCCTGCAGCCCAGCTGTGACACGTGGTCCTCCCGGATCTCACCACAAGACACCCTAGGTTGCTCCCCTCCTCCTCTGAAGTGTCTGCCCTCTCTCTGAAGTTCCAGCCACGTCTTGCAGAGTGGAAGTCTCAGGACTGCAAGTGACTGTGACCTGGCCCACCCCCGTGTTCCCACTTGAGCCAGTGCTGCTGGAGCTCCGGCCTGCAGCCCCTCCCTGGGGTCCACCACATGCACGCCTGTGCCCTGAGCCATTCCCACGCCTGTTCCCATCGTACCATGCTGTGCACCTGCTGGGCACTGTCCACCCCCTCACCAGTGCCCGGAAGTATGTGAGGAGCTCTTTCTCAGCCCCAGCCCATCACAGGCACAGTCATGATTCTGGTTGGGGACCCACAGAGACAGGGGGACCTGGGGGGTCACACTCTGGAATCAGGTTCAAGGGGGGCTCTCTTTCCCATGGAGGCCCATCAGCAGGAGTGCACAGGCCTCGGTGGAAGCCCGTGGAGCGTGCTG